GCAGTGATTCCGATTCGTTCTAAGCCTCCATCAAAACTTATGATGATACTGTCCAGCGTTCTCTTCGTGGTCCCAAGATCGATTGGATATCTCCTGATTGCTTCTGCATTGTAAGAGTAAAAGGAAACAAAGTAAGAACATTGTTTCCTAAACCTCAGAGACAAGTTTCATTTCATCCTTGAAGAACACAACCCACTCAATATTTATTTTTCACATCGTATATCATCAAGATTCAATCAGCTTGAACAAAGCAAGAACACAGAAAATCTTGACTCTATTTCAGATCATTAAGTTATTGTGTCTCTCTTTTCACTCATACAAAATTGGGGAAAATCTAAAATCCTAGCTATTTGACACTGGAAATTCCAATACAAGGGATCAATACTCATAATCTAAAGAATCTTATAGAATCAAGTAATTACATCAAGATTCAATGAGATATAGAACATAAGAGGCACTAACCTTGCTATTCTTCAAAATTGTCCAAATATTCAAGATTCCATTAGAAGCATCAAGTTTTCAAACAGATTCAAAATTCTTGCCTTTCTTTTTGTTCACTCATTACAAATTGGGGAAAATCTTCTTTTTTTTTTTGTTAAAGAAATTGGGGAAAATCTAAAACCCAAGCTATTTAACACTTGCAATTCCAATACAACGATTAACAAAATCCCAAATTCCAGTACGTGAAATTGCAACAACGTACCTTCAAATCACGGATTCTAGAGAGATCAAACGTATTAGGTTTAGATTCCGCGGCGGTACAATCTCGGGGCGACTCGAACAGCGAGAGAGAAAGCTGCTTATCAGCGACACCGACATCGAAGTGGATCAACCCAGAGCTCTCTGGATCCACATGTATTCCTTTAACAGCAAACCACAGGAACAGCTCCTTCTGCGTCACACCAGATAAATTCCCGATCCGGCCATCGGAAAGAACACCGGAGATGTTGTAGTCGAAGTGAAACTGGTTCTCGAATTTAGCATCGCAGGGAACAGGAAGAGCGACGGTGAAACGCCCCGTTTTGATGTCGATCGAGAAATTGGTAACTCCCTTTGGCACTATACCGGCGGGAAGTCCACTCTCTCGGAGATAATCGTAAAACGACGGATCCGGT